TGTACCATGCACGGTGCATACGGATGCACAGCATAATTTGCCGCTATTATTACACCACTTACCACTACTACAGTACATAGTTACTACGGTGATTATTTTTTTACATATATACGAAAATTTTCGAAGTGTCGTATAAGAACTGACGTTGTTACGGTGATTTTTAGGAACTAACCCCGTGTATGTTCCTACATTGTTTCCTTTCTGCTAGTTTGTTCTATTGCTATCTTTTCTTACTGTCTCTTTATTCCTTCTCTACCTTAGTTGTCTTTGATGTTATCATGATTACATAATCAAAAGTCTCACTGATTGCTACTTACTGTTTCATAAATTTAGGAATTCCTTGTCAAATTGTCTTTGATTAATACTTTGTTGGAAAAATAGCATGAAAATGGTATTTTAAGTGATTATTTTGTAATACAAAGATTAGCGGGGGTTTGCTTTCGATTTAGGTCGGGTCAAAGTGAATTCGCGTTTTTCGTAGTAAGAAAAAGAAATTGATATATTGTACGTTCAAAACGGATAATGGATAAATGAGAAATTTGTTCTGAAACTAGATCCATTAGTTGGAAAATGAAGGTGGAAAGTCTTGTATGAGGCTTTTGTCTCACATTGGTTTGGGAAGTGGGTTTGCACCATTATTTATACAAGAGCCTTTCTAAGATATATTGACTTGTATAGCATAGAGGTTCTCTCTCGCGCCCACAAGGGTGGGGTCCAAATCAAATTCCAAAATGAGCTTGAGAAGGCTTAAGTTGTGTACGCTGGCACCTGCAAGCACGGATGTCGGTGTACTGTTTGGAGGATTAATTCACATGTTACGGAATTAATTTTATATTAATTCCAATTTTAAATTTTAGAATTAATGTCCAAATTAAATGATCAGTTTTAATTTGAAGGTTACAAGGCTGGTTTTATATATATATCAGTTTTTAATGCCATGTTCTAGAATTAATCTCTAAGTTAAATGATGATCAATTTTGAACATTACAAGACTGGTTTTATATCAGTTTTTAATGCCATGTCGAATGCTATTAAATTCCCCAATTCCTATATAAGTTCTTGGTTGAGCAGGTGAGGTGATTTTATAACAACGAAAATCAGAATTTTCTCTCTTAAAACTCTGCTCCTCCTCTTCTTTTTTTTTGGACCAATTAAGTACATGAACTTTAAAAATCTTAACCAATTTGGTCATCTGTTTGTTTGGCCGTTAGTCAATCGTTAACTTGGGGGACCAAATTGGTAAGTCACTATAGTCAAATGACCATTTTGGTAATTAACTTTAAAGGTAGGCAATTCGGTTCAGTTTTCTCGAGCCGAACCATACTGAACTAGTTAGATTCAGTAATATACCGAACAACCGAATGGTAATAGATTCTTGTATAACGAACGGTTCGGTAAAAACTCGAACCGAACTGAATTGTTCGGTAAAAATCGAATCGAATACCGTTTGAATTTTATATTGCTATTTTGTTATATATTAGACTTTGGATATGGACTATGTAAACACCATCACACATAATATAGAACTTTTGATAACAAACCATAAAGAAAATGAAATAAAACATTTACGAGAGATACCCGTGAGAATATGAGCTGAACGGCAGAGCAAGCAACAAGGGACTTAGATTTAGTTTTTATTTATTTATTTATTTATTTATTTATTTATTTATTTATTATTATTATTATTATTATTATTATTATTATTATTATTATTATTATTATTATTATTATTATTATTATTATATTTTTTAAAAAAAAAATCAAACGGTATTCGGTTCAGTTAAATTTTTTATTGAACAATTCGGATCGGTTTTTTATCGAACCGTTCAGTATAGAAGAATCCAATACTGTTCGGTTATTCGGTATATTATCGCACCAAACTAGTTCGGTTCGGTTCAAGAAAACTAAACCGAATTGCCCACCCCTAAAGTTAATTACCAAAATGGTCCCTTGACTATAACGAAATTACAGATTTGGTCCCAAGTTAACGGTTGACTAACGGTCAAACAAACGGAGGACCAAATTCGTTAAGATTTTTAAAGTTGAGGGACTTAATTGGTTAAAAAAATAGTCAAGGACCAAATTGGTAATTTCGTTATAGTCAAGGGACCATTTCGATAATTAACTCTTACTAAATTGTCCTTAAGTTTGGGCGAGAAAATAAAATAGGAGGATTTTGTTTATACATATATAGTAAGGAAAATTTTATTTTTCCTCCCAAACTTAAGGACAATTTAGCAATATCAATATTATGAATTAATTAGGAATAAGATTAATTCGGATATTAATATAATGACTTGATTAGGAATATCAGTATAATGAATTGATTATGATAATACCTTAAATAAATAAATACATTTTTCTTTTGAAAAATCTTATAAATTTATAATTCTTATTTTTTTCACCTATAAATACAATGAGTTGATTATAGTCTTATAAATTTATAATCCTTCATTTTACATTGCATCCCTCTTTTTCCTTGCAGGTGACTCTCTCATCACCGATTTATCAATTTAATCATTGTGGTTCAATAGCGGCTCAAACTAATATGCATATTTCACAAAACTCACGCACCTTAAGCACAAAAACACATGCATCTTAAGTTTCAACAACTACTCACATTAAGCACAAACTCACGCACCTTAAGCACAAGACTCACGCACCTTAAGCACAAGACTCACACACCTTAAGTTTCAGCCACTACTCACATTAAGTACACACCCACGCACCTTAAGCACAAGCCTCACACACCTTAAGTTCAAAACCCACGCACATTACTCACCGCACAACCGCACGGGAAACATGCATCCGCACTAGAACTTCAGGTGCGGGGAAGGTTCCCGTGCGGTTGTGCGAAGGACGCACCTTAAGCATCAGGTGTGGGGAAGGTTCCCGTGAGGTTGTGTGAAGGACGCACCATAAGCATTAAAATGGCGCACCTTAAGTACACAAACAAATCACGCACCTTAAGCACACAGACAAAGCACTTTAAGAGCACAAACCGTGCACCTTAAGTAGACAACTCACGCACCTTAAGAACATAAACAACGCACCTAAGGTTTTAAAATGGCTTACCTTAAGTTTCACACAACTAACGCACCCTAAACATACAAATCATGCACCTTAAGAAGGAAAACAATGCACCTTAAGAAGGAAAACCACGCACCTTAGGTTTGAACAACTACTCACATTAAGCACAAAACCCAAACCCACGCACCTTAATCACAAAACCCACGCACCTTAAGCACAAAATCCACTCACCTTAAGCACAAAACTCACACACCGTAAGTTTCAACAACTACTCACATTAAGCACACAACTCATACACCTTAAGCACAAACCTCACGCACCTTAAGCACAAAACTCACGCACCTTAAGCACAAAACCCAAGCATCTTAAATTTGACCTAGACGCAAAAATTACCAAATTGTCACCGCATTTTTTAAAAAAATTTTGGTAATCGTGGACGTTGATTTAAGTAAGATCAATGGCTCAGATTTAACCGCACAACTGCACTTGGGCGCACCAACCACACCAGAACCTAATTATATATATATATATATATATATATATATATATATATATATATGTGTGTGTGTGTGTGTGTGTGTGTGTGTGTGTGTGTGTGTGTGTGTGTAATAGAGATCAAATGCGGAGGAGGTGTCCAAGTGAAACATGCGGGTGAATGTTAGCCATTGATCTTGTCAAAATTAACTTTCAGGATGAACACGGATTAAAAAAAAAAATGCAGTGATAATTTAATCATTTTGCATATTGTTGCAACTTAAGGTGCTACTGCTGGAAATCAGCAGATTTCCGACCACCTAAAAGTGGTCGGAAATGGCCTTAATTAGGTCGGAAACGCTTGTTCCGACCTCTTTTCCGACCAAATTGGGTATCCGGAAAAATCCCCCTCGCTATATCCGACCACCGGAGAAGTGCTCGTAAATAACGACCACTTTTCTAAGACCGTCGGAAAAAATGACCAAGAGGATAGTCGGGCGGGTCCAGATTTTCCGACCACCGGCGGTCGGAAATTTCGACCACTATGGTGGTCGGAAAACTGGACGTAGTCAATAAAAAAAATTCATTTCACTACAGGTTCCCTCTGTAGTGAAATGAATATATATATATATATATATATATATATATATATATATATATATATATATATATATATATATATATATATATATATATATATATATATATATATATATTGTGGCAAGTTGGTAAGATATTTGCTGAAAAACATAGACATTTCATACACTTGAAAAGAATCCATTCATGAATATACAGTTGAAAATTTAACACAAGCATTGTTGAGGTGTAGAAGGGTTTTTCATCAGCTGCAAATTACACAAATACAAATGAAATTTTGGTCATGCAGACAGAGACCTCAGAAAAATACTGGAGAAGCATCATCTAAACACTGTTCTTCACTTCTTATAAAGAATATCTAATAGCATCATCAGTTAACACGTTGGACATACTGATATAAGGGCAATAATAGCTTTCCCAGCAGCATCAGTAGATGTATCACCTTCAACCTGCAGAAGACATCGCCTGAAATCCCTACACCTGCACATCAATAGAAGCTCAATAAATACATAGATCATAGCAATGGAATATAATAAGCATTGATAAGAACAAGTATTACTATGGAAAACAAGTGACCAATAATTACTTGTTCAAAAACTCAAGACCACTAGCAGTCCTGGACTCTAAACCCAGCAATTCAATTAGTCCTTCCCATTACTACAAGAAAAGTTGAAGAACATGGCAGTTAGATGCAGTCAAAGAAAGATATGAACTTGCAATATATAGGCGTTATATACAAAGACATCAAATTTTCTTCATTATCAAAGTTAACTTTGCTTGGAGATGTATAAGCACAAAAATATTAAATTACACTATAACTACCTTGAAACCTTCATCAGAGATAGACTTTCCAACAAAATCAAATAATTGCTTCACAATTCTGTTTAAACGAACTTTATCACGAGCTTGCTGGACCTGAAGCCAGAAAACTACAGAGCCTTTCTTTCCATGTTTCCCGTGGTGGACTCCATCAATCTGTGTTGTGGGATAACACATTTCAATTATGAAATTAAACTATTAAAGCACATACACAAGTTTAGTTAGTATTTGCAAGTATGTAATAAATTTAAGGTGAATATCTAAAAACTGATCAACAAACTCAGACATCACTAATCAATTTGACCATGACATACCCTCATAATGTTTGAAGAGACAGTGTTAAGTTCATACAGACGATAGATGTCCATGCTCTGCAATAGAAGACAACTCAAATTATATATCTTTCAAAGACATGCACACTCCAGTACAAAATTCATCTATCTCTAAATTATGTTTTTCTTATTGGGGATAGGGCTAAACCTGTATGCAAAAGAGGTGTGAGAAAAGAAAGAACTCAATGTTGGACCTTCAGTAGAACTTGGTGCTGCTGTACAGGTTGTTTGTACAATAGATTTTCCAACAAGCTGATTCCAAGCTTCATACGTGATGTTAGATAAATTGGTGCAATCTGTAATTATGTCAAGGTATTTAGGAAAAGACACAGTACTGTCAATAACATAACCAAAAGCTTTAAAACAGTTAGAGAAAATGCGTTAGTTGATAGAGAAAATAAGTGATGAACAATACTTATATAGGGGGAAAAACATATTACAAAATTTTGGAAGTGGATTATGAGTCTAACTGTCTAGTGCATATATCATGACTATCAAGATAATTGAGATGCATCATAGGTCCAACAATATTACATGACACCACAAATAGCAAGTTCTTTAGTCCTCAGAGACAAGAAAATATAGTCCTCAGAGCCTTGTGTGCATATTCCACATAATTTTCATGGAAAAGCTTAAAGTATATGAAATTTAAATTTCTCCTCTTCCTTAAGCTATGAAAATTATGAATCTAGGCTCGGTATCATGTCCTTTAATATGTAATTGCAAAAAAATAGAAAAACAACAAAATGGAGCAGAAATCAGAGGGAGTATTATATATTTCTTAATATCTAAACCTACAAATCCATCTATATTTACTCAGAAATGTCAAAGCAAAAAAGCAGGAAAAAAAAGGAAAATGTAGTTAAAATAAGATTTCTAAGCCTTAAACCCTAAACAGAGACTAAATTTAGTAGACTTAATATATAGCATTAAAATGCAATTACCTTTTGGTTGAGGATGCGAATACTCCGTAACTTTAGCTTGAAATGACTCCGTTGATGACTCGGTTGAGGTGCGAATCAGTTGAGGATGGAGACTCCATAACTTTAGCTTGAGGTGTGACTCAGTTGAGGATGGCGATGATACTCCTCAACCTGGAAAAAACCAGCTATATATATCAGCAAACCGATATTCATTCGAGTTTTCACTTTCCTTTTATCTCTCCAATTCTCATAGGAGACAAATATATAAGATTTAAACATTTTACCTACTCAGGAGGGATACAACATTGTCCATCAGGTTTTGCAGTTTGGGTAGCAAGACGGGCCATAAGCATATTTCCAGCAATACCGGCACTTGCAGTGCATCCTGTTATCTCAACAATTTCCTTCCTGATCAGTCTGACAAATGCTTGAATGTCATCCACCCCTGAGTCAGTGGCGTCTAAAAATGCTTCATCACAACTGACGTGTAACACCCCGTGTTACGACCTTTAATCTTGGATTAATTATTTAATTAATCCCGCCAATAATAATTAAATATGATTAATTAAGTTAAGTTCCCCTTTAATTAATTAATGGGGTCCACCATGGACCGTAGACCCTTGCCTAAATTAGAGGCTTAAGTCTATTAGGAATAAAGATAGTAAACCTTTTACTATTCAGATTGTGATTAGGATCCGCTCTAATTAATATGGACCCTTATCCCTAAAGCGAGTCCCTGAATCCTATAAGGAATAGGATTAGTAAACCCATACCATTCAGGCCCTAATTAGGAGTCTTAAAAATATAAATAAAGAACTTAGGAGACACCCAGAACCCCCCACACGCATAAACGCCCATCACCCCAGGAGAGCTCCAAGAATCCCCTTAGAAGAAATCAAGAAAGCAAGAAAGCTTAAAGAAAGATCCTTCATAGCCAAGGAATTAATTAAGGCTAAGAGGTAACCCATGTCTCAACAAAACCTATTTTCATAGCTATGTTTTCCCCTTAGGGTTTTCCCCCATATTGTTGTGAATGGCGAAATTATGATGATTATTATTGATGTTGATTTGATGATTCCATGGGGAATCTTGATAATCTTGATAATTGGGAGTTTCTTGATAATGATGATATTCTTGATGATTAATTCGGGATCCTTGATGATTATGTGTTGTTCTTGATGATTATGATATTCTTGATGATTAATTGGCATCCTTGATGTTTGTGTGTTATTCTTACTGAATCTTGCAATTAGAAGATGAATCATATTCTTGTTGATATAAAAGCAATTAGAACCCTAGGTTGTATCGTATGATCTTATTCTTGGATTATCGGGTGGGGAAATCGCATGTTTGGGTGTTGATTATATTTAGAAAAGCATGATAGGTTATGTGTCGTTCGTTTCTCGTAATTGATCCGTTAATTGTCTACGTGTTGTCGTTAATTGCGTTGTAAAGTGTCTAAGCATGGTTTCGGGTTCCACAACGGTTCCCGGGGCGAAAAGTGATGAAAAGAGTCAGTGGGGGGTAGGTGGGGGTAGGGGACCCGCCACCTACCCGTAGCAACTCCGGGCAGTTCCGGCAGCGGGCAGCTGGCGGGCGGGCAGCTGCCCGCCGGGCACCCGCTGCCCGGAACTGTGCTGGCCGGCGGGCAGCCGGCGGGTGGCCCACCACCCACCGGCTACCCGCTGGAATCTTCCCCCCCCCCCCCTCGGGGCCCCGGTTTCCCGTTTGATGTTTTCCCGATCCCCGTGGTGTCCCAACGGACCCCGTTTGTCGTGCCTATGTCTAGTTTGATGTTTCGGGTACCGTTTGTAGGTTTATGAGTCTATTGTATTGCATGCTAGTTGAATTGGTATCCCGTTGACCTAGGTGGAAGAAGTATGAACCCCTTAGGACTATTCTTAGTGTGTGGTGGATCACGCATAGGTTTTGTTATACGTTTTATCCCCCTTCCCAAGGTGTAATGTGGGTTGCATGTGCTTGCTATGTGTTATGTGTGCGTGTTACCCCAATTCGGTTGCGATCGGATTGGTTATCCTGAGCTGCGGTTCAGAAGCCGGCTATGGTCAGATGGGAATTCCTGGCTATAGTCGGATGACGGTATCCTGGGCTGCGGTCCAGAAGCTGGTTGTAGTCAGATGGGAATTCCTGGCTGCAATCAGGTGACATCTTTCCTGAGCTGCGGTTCAGAGGCTGGCTGTAGTCAGATGGGAATTCCTGGCTACAGTCAGATAACACACTCTCTTGGGCTGCGGTCCACTGTTTGGTTGCGATCAAACATTATGATGAGCTGCGGTTCATCGGTCGGTTGCGATCGACCCCTCCGTGTTGCGATACGGGGCAGGGTGCTGCGGGGCCGTGTCAGAGCTATATGCGCTGACCCTCATGTATGGGCATGCGATTGGTCCTGTGGCGCCAACAAAGTGTGCTATGTGATGTGATATGGATGAGCTGTGATTATGAGTGTCTTGGAGGAATGTGACTATGGGATTTATATTGGGGATTGTTTATGATGGGTTGTGATTATTGTCTATGCCTTGCCTTATCTGCCTTATCTATTGTGAACTGCATATGACTGTCATAACTATTGCTTGTGTCTGATCTTATCTGTCGAGTCATTCCCGGTTTTAGAAGCTAGAGTTCGTAGGATATATCTTCATGCTCACACTGGTTTTCGTATATCTATATATATATCTCTATATGTATTGTATTTCAACGCGTTGGTGTGGGTTACCAGCATCTCTCGCTGAACAGATATATTTGGCTTTCAGGCACAGAGGATTAGAGCATCGGAGCGCGCTAGAACTGGAGCGTAGAAGTAGTATAGTTTTCCCTTTCGGCCTGCGTGCCATATTATGCATTTATATTTCAGAGGATAGTAGTTAGACAGCCTGTGCACCTGGGTTCTCTAGCCCAGGTGTGGCATAGCACCCCGTACACTTATGTTACGCTTTGGGATTTAACGAGGTGTTACCTTTATTATTAAGTTTTAAATGTCTTGAAAATTAGGGGTGTTACATGACAGCCCGCTTTCAGTAACAAGCCAATTGAAGAGTTATATAAGTATAATATAATGTGTGCTCTGAAGAGAACGATATACACGGACAGACCTGCACTTTCTTGCAGTGCTTATGCAAAATTTCATAAAACTTGTCAGCCACCTGTAAATCAAAAATTGTGTGTCAAACTATCCACGTGACTGAAAGTTGTAAAGGCACAGGAGAAAGCATGACTGAAGAATTTCCATTTTTACTCAACCAATCTCACAATACCTCCTCATAAGCTTCAAAGTCATAAGAAAGAATGACAAGTTTAGGACAAAGAACCTTAGCATCTCTTACAAACATTCCAGCCTTAACTCCTGTGAAGAAGAATTCCATGTCAAACTGAAACTTTTTACAAAAATAGAAATGTTAGCATATTCGCTGCAAAGTAATTGCTGGATTCAAAACCAACCATAATTCCCCCTTATCAATCTCATCAACCAGAACCCCTTACTCTAGAAGAATTACCACTCTCACTGACGCTGCCTTCCATCAATGGTGTCTCACCTTTAGATATTACCTGGTCAGTTGAGCACTTTTCTAGAATAGCAGGTGTGGAATTTTTGAAGTAAAGAAGGCAGGTAACTTTGGTTGATTACTAGCTTCGCTTGCAACCTATTCCAGCTGATAAGGAACCCCTGTAAATGACCAATTAAGGAATTAGTCATCAAAAGAGTAAAAGTTCCCTCTTTGTCTTCTATAAATTCAATTTCACCATAGATGTCAAAAACACATCCATTATTAAGTGTTTGATCATTATAGCATTTCAGAGTAACATGGTTAATAATGAAGAATTTAAAAGTGAGAGCATAATGTCTAGTATATACCATGCATTCAATGATTCAATTATATTTCTGGAAAATAGGTAAGGGCATCCATTCTAATAACCAAAAAAAAAAAAAAAAAAAAGATGTGGGAACTTCAAAATTGATTTAGATTTTCTTTTTTAATGAAAAGCAGGAAAACACTAAATTGCACACATGATTCAGGCAACTCTCAACCAAAAAATCAAACCTTTCAAAATTAAAAACTAAGTAACTTTTCTGAATGGTTTCAAACTAAAACAGATATATATATAAATATAATAAGAATAAGAGAACGAAGAAGTGACTGTATGTGAGAGCAAATTTAAGCATATTATTTGGGTTACATGGTAAACCCCATAACAGAGCACCAGCTCATTGCAAAAAAACAAGCACCACAATGAGAAAATGTGCAGAGTACAAGGAAAAGACAAAGCATGAAGACCGCCACATGCACAAATTACCAGAGTTGATCTCAGGTGAAATCCAACACGCATGACATTTTAAAAGTACTGAGCTTCACACAACACACCAAATACCTAAATGATATTCAGACCAAAATAGTCATTACACAACACCTCATTAATTATTATAGAAAGAGATAGAGAGAGCAAGGGGTGAAGGGAGGAAACAAGGGAAGCAATAAACTAACATGTTGAGTGTAATATAATGAAATTATAGGAATAGTATAAACAAGTAAAAGTAAACTAGATAAATGAAAGAAATATATTTTGGAAATGATGAAATATTTGTTTGCCGCTTCAACTAAAAGCTTAAGCTATTAGAGAGGGGAGACATTTAATAGTTTATTTTTTATTCTTAACAGGCCCTCATGAGCTGGCCACATTCTTTTAGGTGGGCAAAGCGTGTGGAAATATTTTATAACAGCCAGTGAATGAAATTCAAACTCAAGACCTCTGCCTTCTCCAATAAACTTATCTACACCACCACAACTAAAAGCATAACATATTAAAAAGGGAAACAATCATCTTTGCACCTTCTCTTTGAATGAAAAATTGCAAATGCATAGATATAGCCAATCCATGCCGGATCTCCTTCTTGCATTGACTGTAATATGTGGAAAGAAACAACTATGAGATGATATAGTTAAAGCAAAAGTCTACAGAACAGAAAGGGAGATTTAGGAAAAGGAGTTAATAGACATGCTTTAATCACAAAAGCTTACTGCACAAAATCCTGATGGTTTCAAAAGTTAATACAATAGAACCAGTGTGTACCATGTTGCCGGGATGGCCCCAGTGCACAATCCAATCAGGAAGGTTCCATGATTTAACGAGCTCAACGAACGGTCCAAACACAGACCTCACAGCTCCAACTGAATTCAAATCATCAGTTTCATTGTGTGGAATCACACAAGTGCCCTGTAATGATACCAACAAGAGAAAAAGTTCTATAATAATAATGATACCAACATGGAAAACATTTAACTATCCTTGCTTGTTTACTAAAAATGAGAAGCAGAAAAGGTATTTCATTTCAAGCAAACTCTCATATTTTCTTTCTCTTCTAGTCTTGGTAGAGACCAAGGGACCATCCAATAGAACTCACCCCAATAACAACAAAGCATTGATGAATTACTAAAACTAACCTTACAAACTTCTCTTGCCGGTTGATTCATATGAAAGAAATTCTTCACATAAACACCTTGCACTGGAGCAAGAAATAGGCAACTAAGATTTCGTGAAGATAGAAATAGAAGTCAACCTCTGTTCACAGAAAAAGAACCAACATAGCAGACTAGGTCTACATACATAACCAGGCATCCTTCCCAAAAATAAAATAAAAAATCCTCAAAAACATTTTTTGACAGAATCAGCAGCAACCAAGAGTATAATAGCACATTTACAAACCACAACTTTGATATGCAAATGACAAGGCTAGTAAGACTAGTAAAAAAAAAAATTAACATTTGCATTTCTATTATATGGAGAGGAGCCAAATCAAGTGCAAATCATTCCTTAAGTATAAACTACAAACACATCTTAACTGTTAAAGTAAAATTCACTCCAGAAAAGTAAATACAAAAAATATGTATCTATCAATACAAGGTGAAAGTCATACATACTGTATACTGTTTTCTGGATTCTCAATCGTAGATAGCCTACCTGCCTGAATGCCTGATAGATCTAACAGAAGCCACTTTCCCCAATTTGAAGTGAAGGCCAAGCTCGAATCAGTTCCCGAACTTCGCTCTTTCATACCTCCTCCCTGACTATAGTAAAAATAAGTAAATAACAATACATTAGAAATAAAGAACCTTAAGTCCTTGAACTTTAACAATAGATGAGAAACTAACGAAGGCATAATAGCGGTTACCTTAGAAACGATCAATGCAGTGTGTTGTCTTTCATTGTATTCCTCATCCTCATACAAATTTTCTCGGCAGAACAATATGCCAACGAGTGTTTGAGACGACGCAAATGAGCGAGGAAAACGTTTATATCACAGCTACGTCGTTGATCGAGGAGAAGAGCTAAGGAGGAGAAGGTTCGCAGCTGCATAGTCGATTGAGGAGAAGGCGATCGAGGACTTCAACATCGTAGACGATCTAGGGCTTCAGTGGTGGATAGGTGTTGGTTCCCAGAACGTATAGAGAAATCTAAAAATCTAACTCTTGAAAATAAAGAAAAAATGATGGGTCGTTTTCATATTTTAAAGGTTTCTAATATTTTAAATAAATGACCCGCTCCTTTTAAAAAAGATGCTAGGAAAAAAAAGTTATAATAATAATACATTTCCGACAACTTTTGAATGTGGTCGGAAATAATAAATAGATAATTTTTTAAAATTTAAACGGCAGAAAGAAATTTTCGGTCATCTTTACTTTGTGGTCGATTATTCTGACCACTAAGTAATGGTGGTCGAAAATTTCGACCTATTTCCGTCCACCATAATCCTTCAACGGAAAAGTGAAAAAAAATCACTTTTTCCGACCAATATTCTGGGTGGTCGGAAATGTGGTCAGAAAATGAAAAATTTCCAGCAGTGTGCGTATTTTCTGCGCTGAAGGTGCGTCGTTTTAATACTTAAGGTGCGTCATTTTAATACTTAAGATGCGTCAGTTATACACTTTTGAACTTAAGGTGCATTCGTACAATGCGACGTTGTATCGCAATTTGTTTTTTTTTTTAAATGACATACGATGTCATATTATTTATTTACTACGTATGCGAGAATAATGTTACAAAATAATCGACGTTGCATGTCAAAAGAAATCGATGTTAAAAGTGTTTTGTGTAGTAGTGAACCTGGTTTAATTACTAATCGCTGAGCAAGAGTCAAATACTTCAGAGAATTGAAATTAGGAAATCAGGACGCTTTGTTTTCTAAACCTTGACAAAGACTTTGACAATGTCGGTGAGGAGATGACTGTGCAAGGGGGCATCACTTTCTTTTCTCATTTTCCTTTCCCCTTTTTTTGGACTGCTACAGTCGTACTTGAGGACAGGATTTCACTACTAGCATCGTGGATTCAGAAACTATTTTTAGTGGACGAAACATAACAAAAGAGATAGTTTGAAAAGAAAAAATGAAACACTTTAGAAGAATAGTTATAAATATTATTGGATATGTACGGAAAATAAAACACATCAAAATTTTATGAAATTATTTACAACAAAATAAAAAAAATAATTAATTTAATAAAATAATTAGAATAAAAAACATATTATATATAAGGGTTATATATGTGGTGGGTGCCCCATGCTAAATCTGTCACTGACTACTAGTAGTTATATGAAAAAGTTATTTGACTACCTACTTAGGAGAGTATTGAGGTCTTACTGCAAATATGGAAATTTTCTTTCCTAACTTTTTGAAATGTTTAAAAAAAAAAAAAAAAAAAAAAAAAAAAGAAAAGAAAGAAAGATGTGTTAGTGCATGTTGCGCGCACTAGCGTTGGCCAACAGGTGTGTTAACCAACGGCACTCTGAAATCTCATTTTTCTCTCTTTCTTGAAAAAAATTCCCAGCAAGATTTTAATGCTGTGGATGCCATTACAAGAAGAAATAACAAACAAAACATCTATATGAGTTTATGTTCATTTGTTTGTTTGTTTGTTTGTTTGTTTTTTTTTTTTTTTTTTTTTTTTGTTTTGTTTTGTTTTTTTTTTTTTTTTTCTAAAATGTAATTTCTAGGGGTGGGGCTTTTGGTATTCTGTTTAGTTTTTTCGGTCTCTGTTTGTTCGGTTTTAAAAAAATGAAACCATTCAATTTAACATTTTAGTTCGGTACGATTTTCAAAATTTTCAGTTTCGGTTCGATTTAAGAACCTCAATTCCCAATATTTCCTTGTGTTTTAGCGCAAATAATTAATAATTATTTATTTTTACTAATAATTTAAGATTAAAAACCTATTTTGCATCCATTGAGTTCTATCAAACTCATTTAATGAGATTGCACAACTTCTAATAAGATTGATTTAGCCCTAATCTTATATTTTCTATTCCATCTGTTTCATTTTATCTGTCCTACTTACTATTCATTTGTCAAACCAACTCTGTCTTCTTTATTTGTTTTCTTTAGTATTTTTTTTTACTTATTTTTAAATTTGATTTGTTTGTGTTTAATTTTAGTGTAGTTTCTAAATATATAAATTTTGTATACTAATACTAAACTTAATATTATGAAAAATTGAGTTAAAAATAACTTCAGTCAAGCCTCGTAAACCGAACCATACACATAAAATGGGACGGAGGGAGTAATATTTTAAAAGAATTTATTTCTTTAATACGTGTGATTTGTTCCTTTTAATCTCAGTCGTGCATCATTATAATTTAATGGTCTAGATTAATTCTCACGTTATCATATTTAGGACAATTCTCATGGGAACGCAACTATATATATATATATATATATATATATATATATATATATATATATATATATATATATATATATATATATATATATATATATATATATGTGTGTGTGTGTGTGTGTGTGTGTGTGTGTGTGTGTGTGTGTTTTTGTGTGTGTATGTATATAGATAGATGATCAAGTGCGGTAGTAGACGCAAATTATGCCCTGGAAACGTGTTCACCGTGAATGGTGACCACAAGTCCAAACGACATCGTTTTTACGCAAAAAAAAAAAAAAAAAAAAAAATCGTGGATGTGGAGTTAACGGCGCGCGTTTGATCAAATTATGAATTTTCTGTTATGAGATTATGAATTTAATGTAAATTCATAATCTCATAACAGAAAATTCATAATCGCATAAAAGTAAAATATTTATTAAATTATGAATTTTCTATTATGAGATTATGAATTTTCTGTTATGAGATTATGAATGTAATGTAGATTCATAATCTCATAACAGAAAATTCATAATTTCATAACAGAAAATTCATAATCTCATAACTGAAAATTCATAATCTTATAACAGAAAATTCATAATCTCATGGTTCCAAAGTGAATGTGTAGGCAGGTTCCAAAGTGAATGTGCAGGCATGGATTCATAATTTATGAATGTCCATGATTTCGGACGGGAATGTGTAGGCATGGTTCCAAAGTGAATGTGCAGGCATGAATTTATAATTTATGAATATCCGAAATCATTGCTCACCTCAAATTAAAGTGAAGCCGCGAAATGTGAAAATGAAGAAGAAAATTCATGCAATTAATTAAGAAAAAAAAAAGAAAAAAAAAAAAAAGATAACGGTGTACTAACACCGTTGGAACCGTGTTCACCATTCCATGGCATAACGATTGCAGGTAAAATATGGGGTTTAATCTCAGCCCTTGATCGAGCCAAAATAAACAGTCCAGATTGAAGAAAACTTTAAAAAATGCGGTAGTATTATGGTAATTTTGCATTAGTTCAAAACTTAAGGTGTGTAAATTGAAAACTTGAGGTGCGTAAGTTTATAGCTTAAGGTGCATAAATTTATAGCTTAAGGTGCGTTTGTTTATAGTTGTTGGTGCCTAAGTTTAAAGCTTAAAGCGCTCAAGTCTATGACTTAAGGTGAGATGTGTAGTTCTATAGCTTAAGGTGCGTCATTTTCTAGTTTAAGGTGCATCAGTTTAAAACTTAAGTGCGTATTATTAAATTAAAATTTAAGGTGCATTATTTTCCAGCTTAAGGTGCATAAATTCGAAGCTTAAGGTGCGTGAGTTTATAGTTTTTGGTGCCTAAGTTTAAAGTTTAAGGTGCTTAAGTTTTAAGGCTAAGGTGCATAGTTTTATAGCTTAAAGTGCGTAGTTTTATAGCTTAAAGTTCGTATGTTTAAAGCTTAAGGTGCGTCACTTTTCTAGTTTAAGGTGCATCAGTTTAAAACTTAAGTGCGTAATTTTATAGCTTATGGTGCGTAGTTTTATAACTTAAGCTGCATAGTTTTATATCCTAAGGTGCATCAGTCTAAGACAGTTGATCATTTACATGCATGTTACAGGAAGCGCGTTTTTTTTTTTAAAGAAAAAAAAATCCCCTCAGTTTGAGCCATTGATTTAGATTAGATAAACTGCACTAGAGGCCTGTGATAATCTCAGGGGTAAATTATCGGTACAGACAACTGTGTGGACCACGGTCTAAAATAACGTCGTTGAATTTTATGAGTCAGAATAATGTACATGATTATGAGTTAGAATAATGTATTTTTTTTTTGTTAGAATAATATACATTATGTGTTAGAATAATGAAATTTCTGTGATAAGATAATGTATTTTATGAGTTAGAATAATGTACATTATGCTTTAGAATAAGGTATATTATAAGTTATAAAAATGTATGTTGCAATGGATTATGTGAAAAAAATAATTACGTAAAATAATTTTATTTTTAGACCGTGGTCCACACAATTATATGGAGCATAGTGCACGCAATGACTATTGAATTTCATGATCTGATGTCACTACTCTCTCCACTCGAAAAACGAGAGAGAGAGAGAGACATGAAAGTTCCTTTCTAGTACGTTACACCAGTATAAAGGGAAACATTTTATTGACACAAAAGTTCTTTTATAGTACACCACTATAAATAAGTACATTTTCATTCATATTGGAGTACCATTATTGGTTATTGTGGGCTGTCAAACTTAAATTCTTAAGAATTAAAATTTCACATATATGTGTGAACTGTTTGAACCATTCTTTGAAAATTGAAGCACATTGTTAAGGAGTTGTTATATCATGGATTAGTGTCTTCTTTAGAATGTGAATTTTGGTCTTAAATGACGTATAAATTGTGTATTTTTAATTAGTATTGAAATTGTGAATTTTTATAATATACATTGTGTTTTTATGTCAAAACACATAATAGCATGAATACAATACAAGGTCATCAAATCCTAATATGTTAATATTGTGTGACTGCAGTATTTGAAAAGAGCTTGTGAATACAAAACAATGTAATCAATTACATATATATTAACATTGCGTTAGTAGTATACAAATTGTGAATTTTTAAAAGGTAAATTGTGAACATACATCCA